TGCCCAATAGCCTACAACACTAGAGAGAGGGAACTCTGTCAGACAGCTGTGATTTTCTTTGCCAGAGCTGGAAAAATTTTAACAGGGAAGGATCATAATATACACATCCAGTTTCTGATACTCTTTCTCTGAACATCTATTTTTGGCTGCCATCAGAAATCGATACCCCTGGGCTGACTCGTCTCACACCGCAGAGCTATTCTCATATTCTCACCAGTGGAGCTGCCCTGTTGGAACAGCAGTGTGGGAGTACAGACAGCGCCATCGCCCAACGGCCAGCTGGAACCGGCAGAAAAATGTTGGCAAGCTCTGTTTGGTGATCTTTTTTTATACTGCTGATTCAGGAGAATCTCCAGTCTTTCCTTGCAGTTGCTCACTCACATCTTTACAAATACAGTCTTCTCCGACATGTTCTTTTGCACCAGGATGCTGGGAAGGGAAGCTGAATTTCTGGAATGAGTTCCCCTCTAATTCTATAAAGCTATCCCTGTAAATGAATAAAATATGGGGGAGTCCAAATAAAGTAAAGAAAAATACCCTGTATCAATTAAATCCCCATACTAATCATCATCTGCACATTTGCACTTCACATTTGCCAACTGAAAATCAGACTTCACCTATTTGCATATCTGGCTAATCTCATATAACCAGTGAGGGATGAAAATGAACCATTTTCATGTATCTGCTCCTAAAGATAAAGGATTCCTGAAATTCTTGATGTGCCTTCAAAAAAATTTCATATGCCTATTGCTGTTGAACTTCAGTTGAAACCTTGACAAAGACATTGACTTTTACTGCTTAATATAATTATGTAGACCAGTTGTAGATGGCTTAATATGCCTCCTGAGCTACTCTGACAATCACTGCCATATTTCATTTCTCATATGAATACCTTGCATTCTTACAAAGTGTATGTTAGCCAAAATGTAGAACGAGCGCACAAGAATACGGTTAAGTTCTGAATATTCGTCTGTTTTCTCACTTCTCCATATTTGCTGTGGAAAAAGCATTTCTTAAGGAAAAAAAGGGGGTTTTTTTCTTAAGCAAAATTCAAATAAATTATTAATATGTGGGGGTTTTATTGTTTGCAATGCAACCAGGGCAGATTTTCCTATCTGTCTTTTGTGTGGTGCTGTCAGATATGAAAATGTGCAACATGAAAGAGGTTGTGAATGATTTATTTTTCTCCTTTAAAAATACTATCGAGTTGTGAAATTCAGGTCAGGCTATAGTTCTGGCTTCAAAATTCCCAAGACTTTGGGGATCAAAAAAAGTCAGCATTCAGTGTTTTGGTGCCATTCTCTCCTCCCTTTCCTCTGTATTTTTTAGAATTCTGTATATAAAAGATAGAATCATAGATTCATAGAATGGTTTGGGTTGGAAAGGACCTTCAAAGATCATCTAGTCTACCTCTGCTGCCATGGGCAAGGGACATCTTTCACTAGATCAGGTTGCCCAAAGTTACGTGCATCTTTGCACGTATCTGTCACGACCACCCTCCTTATACACATGGAGCATTATAAATTTGGAATCAAGGACTTTCAAAACTTCAAACCCAAGACTCCTACTGCAGAAAGTAGCTGGGTAAATCTAATGATGTTTTGCTAAGATACCTTGTTTCCTCTAAGCGGGCTGTTTTCCAGTGGAAGTTTTTTTCTCTCTTAAATACTTATGCACATACAATATGTGAGATGAGCTGTTTAGATGCAGTGCAATCCATAGATCCAACATAAACACTGAGAAGAAGGAGATTAAAGACTAACATATAACTATCATTCACCTTGCACTGCACACGCATACGTATGCACATGCACATGGAGTAGTGTTCATTACTTTGGTGGCACTTCATACAATCATCATAGAATAGCCCAGGTTGGAGGGGACCTCAGAAGATCATCTGGTCCAGCTTTCCGTGGGAAGGGGAACCTAGACAAGACTATCGAGCACCCTGTCCAATTGTATCCTGAAAACCTCCAGCGATGGGGACTCTACCACCTCCCTGGGGAGGTTGGTTCAGTGAACGACTGGTTCTTACTGTAAAAAATTTCTTTCTTATGCTGAGATGAAATCTCTCCCAGTGCAACCTCTACTTGTTGCCCCTTGTCTTCTCCATATGGCTCCTTGTGAAGAGAGAGCCTCCGTCCTTTTGGTAGCCACTCTTTAAGTACTTTGCATCTTCATATTAGAAACTATATTTCCTCTACTTGGGAAGCTGTGGATCCTTGAAAATTTACTATCATGTAAAACAGGTATTTCAGCTGATTCAGAAAGTGAGATTTGTGTTTAGTTCTTTCAATTTGGAAAGCAAAAGGAGGGGTTAAATGGCATAGGATAGCCCTTATCAGTGGAGTCTTAATGAGTTCCTCAACTTCTCCAAAAGAATGACTCCTCTTACAGAGATTCACCTTCTCACTAGTATTATTCTGCTAATTTATGGCTAAAACTCAGCCTTCCTGCTACTACTTCCTGACTCCACCTAGAAGCTGCCAGGGCCTCGAGGGCACTAATAAGACTTGATGGCCCTGACCAGCCTCACCTGGACCACTCCACACACGTGCCCCTGCCTATGGCCCAGGAGCCCCATTTAAACTCAGTCCAGGGCCATCAGTCCTTCCTTGACTACACAGGAGGTGTGTTGGGCTGCAGCTGTGTTTCTGCCTCCTGGATGGACCCCAGATCAAGAGTACAGCTTTATCTCTGACCCTGCTCCTGGTCCATCTCCCTTTGCTCCTGATGGCACGCTGTGGATGGGCCCTGAGCATAGTTCATCGCTTGCTGTGGCTGTTGATGGACCCTGATGCCAGCCCATGGCTCTGCCTGCTGTGTTCAGCCCCTGCAGGTCTGTCCCCTGGGAGTGAGGCACTGCCTGCCCTGGGGTCCTCCTTGGCTCCTTGCTCCCTGTCCCTTGGGCACCAGCTGGCTCTTGCAGCTCCCTGACAGCAGCCATGCAGACACATGGCAGGAACGTGCCTCTACTTCTAAAATTCTATGGACTCTGAAAGAAAACACTGCCCTGCCCGTCTAGCCCAGGTACGAAATATCCCTGAATATCTTTAATATTAAAGCCCTTTCCTTTGTCTTCACAAACTTCTTGGTTTTTGGGCTAGACTCTGATGTTCTGCTCCATCTCTCCTTAAAGCTATTTTCTTTCTGTTCCCCACCTCTCGCATACAGCAGAAGTGGTGAGGAGCTCTCATTCTACTAGGCGTGTGCATTTTCTACTGTCTCTGCATGGCCACGTGGATAGAAGATATTCATTCAGTTTGATGTCCCAGCCGACTATGGTGAAATAATTGCATTGCTTATACCTGGCATGTAGTTGCATCTTTTCCCCAAAAGAATTTCTAAGCTCTAAAACCCAGTTGTTGGCAGTAGTAGTCATAAATACATAGCTCATCATTGCAAATACAATTTAATAAGAGGATGGGACCAGCTGTGGTGGTCAAGCACAGGGCTTGGCCAGACAAGCAAACTGACCAGCAGCCTGCTTAGAGGCCACCAGCCCCTTTTAATGCCTCCCTTATCTCGTTGTCCCCTTCTTGCTCTTCCCTCATCAGCCATGATACCTCAGTTTCGCCACCATGGTCTCCTCCCAAATAAATGACCCACCCTGATCGCTTCCCCACGTTTGTTCCTGTTTTGCTACGTTCACACCTGATTTTGCTATTCCTGATACCCAGGTAGAATAGACCTGTGGTGTTTCTGGTGGGGTTCCTAGGCACTGCTGGCCTTGTGAGGGTCTGCTCCCCAAAGGGTGTCCAACGCTTCCCCTTCAACCATCTGTGAAGTCTGCCCATCTCTAGCACCTCTGGTGCCCTCCTAACCACTGGTGAAATCTGGCCATCCATCATGGTGCTGTTAATTCGACAGTTCCTCACTGTTACTTGTTACGTCCAGTGGTTTCTCATGTCATGTCCAGTTGCTTTTCATGGTCTGCTCAGTGAGTTTGACATCGGGCTAGGGACTAGTCATCCTCCCAAATATCTTTTCTAAGATGAATGTTGTCACAGGTGTGTCTGAACCACATGTTGAGATTCATGTCCCTCATTTTGTGTATCTAACAAATGGCCAATTTGTATTTACTTGTCTCTGAGCACTTCATTATCAAAGGGGTGAAATGTGTATCTCCTAAGGTAATTTTTCCTAAGTGTGGCACATAGGAAGAGCTTCCCCACAAGTATTTTGAGACAAAAGCTCTGCTTTTCTCTGCTGCTGCTAAGGGCTTCAGTTGATGTGGTGTGGTCTGGCATTGGTTCTGCTAATGAATAAATATTTGTGAGTGGTGATCCATCACCTTAGATGACGTTTTCTATTTAAATCCACAGCTGGGACTTGCAAATTTTTTGTTTGTCTTTTAAAAATAGATGGGTTTTCTGTATCAGCAAAGGGTCCTATAAAGATGTCACATAGAATTGATTGCATCAAGCTGTGTCTGATTCCTGAACCTTCTCTGGGGAATGCACATATGTAGCATTCATTTATTTGATCTTAAAAAAGCACTGCTCATTAGTAATGTTAAACCTGGCTTCTGCAAACTCATACTACACTGCCAATTGGAAATGTTCCTGGTTTCAAACATATTAGCCCAGGTTTATTCTTAGCAAACATCCATGAGGACCTGGATCTCCTCTTTGCCCCAGCATTCCCTCTTGAAGATCTGCCAGAAGAACTAAATGTGAGGGATGCTTCTCAATCTGAAAAATACAGTTCCTTATGGAGTGACGCAAAGAACACCAAGTCTTTAAAGTAGGAGGTGGCGTGTGGGAAAGGAGTGCATGTGAGGCTTTGAGTATAATTAGTGGGTTTAAGGGTAAAATCGGACAGTATAGTTACACCCTGACAGAGGAGAAAGCAAGCAGTGGCTCACTATATCTTCTAGCAATGACATGCGCAAACACTTGGGTCCTCATAATTGCCATCGTCTTTTCGCTTTTAGTTTAAATGGTCAGCAGCCAAATGGAGACTGAAATTCAAGAATGTCCAAGTTTATTTTGTTTAGTTTATGACACCTCTTTACCAGTTTGATTTCTAAAGGAAACAAGAACTCTTTCTAGAAAAAGTTTCTTGAGAGCGTCCTTCACCTCCATGTTCCTCGGGCTGTAGATCAGGGGGTTCAGCATGGGAATCACCAGGGCGTAGACAATGGACACCACTTTGTCCTGGTCCAGGGAGTAGCTAGAACTGGGGCGGAGGTACATGAAGATCATAGTCCCGTAAAAAATTGAGACTGATGTCAAATGTGAGGCACAGGTGGAGAAAGCTTTGTGCCCGCCCTCTGAGGAGTGGGTCCTCAGGACAGTGGTAAGGATATAACCATAAGAGACAACAATGAATACTAAAGTGCTGAGTGCAATGGTAAAAACCACATGTTCGTTGACAGTAGTACTGGAACAGGAAAGTTTCAGGAGCGGGGGAATGTCACAGAAGAAATGATTGATAGCATTAGGGTCACAGAAGTGTAAACTGAACACTGAGCTGACAAGCACCATTTCGTTCACAGTAGCTATTATGTAGGGTCCCACAGCCAGCTGGACACAAGCCTTTTGAGACATGGTGGCCACGTAGAGCAGAGGGTTACAGATGGCCATGTACTGGTCATAGGCCATCGCAGCCAGCAGGTAACACCTGATGATTATGCGGACTCCACAAAAGTACATCTGGGCTGCACACCCTGGCAGAGAGATGGCTTTCCTTTCTTCAAAGAAGCTCACTAGTATTTTGGGAGCAACTGCTGAGGAATTACTTAGGTTTACCAGAGAGAGGTGGCAGAAGAAGAAGTACATGGGAGTGTGGAGTCAAGAGTCAAGCCTGATTAATGCAATCATGCTGAGATTCCCCACCAACGAGGTGACACAGATCAGAAGGAACAGCACAAAGACAGACCTGCAGCTCCCAAATATCTGTGATTCCCAAGAGAATGAACTCATCAACAGTTGTCTTGTTTCTTCTGACCATTCCCTTAATGAGCCTGAATCTTTAAGAGGGAGAAAAAAAAATCAAAGAACACAAGTGAGTTACAACTCCAGATAGAAGAATAAGTCATAATGATGCTGGGAATGTCGGGCAGGAATGTAGTAGAAGAAAACTGGATGCTGCTTTATTTTAATGGAAACCTAGCTGTCTGTTAGTATGCAAGAACTGGATGCTTAACTCAAGTCTCTTGAGAAGCTTGCTGTTATCCATTTAACACTTCTGTAATGACAGTCTCAAAGAAGGATTACTTTTATTCCATTACTGAGATTGTTCCAGGAAAGAGGAGAAAGTTGTTATTCATTCCAACCTTTTTTAATATTTCCTGCTTAGTTCTATTGTTAAATTTTCTCAAATGCTTATCTGTGTCCATGGTGCCTAGGAGGAATAACAGGATGATTCTGATTATCTGCTCCGTTGTTCTTAAATAGCGGAGTAATAAATTGCTCTCAACTTCTAAGGATAACATTTAAGTTGGCCAGTGCAGTTCTGAGGAGAAGTCCTCATAGGAAGATACCCCCAAATTAAAAAAAAAAAAAAATCCATGTAGAAAAGCAGTTTATGTTAAAAAGCAGATGCTAATTTTATCAAAGTTTATTTGCTGATTCCAAACATAACGAATCAAAGGAGAAGACAGGGGCAGTGTGGCCATGGACCTTGCCCTGCGTCCCTGAACCTGTTCATGCTAATGGCAGGAAGAAAGTCTGTAAGTCTGTCCTGACACAAAATCACACTTGTTTTGTCCAACGTTAAGAAAGGAGTTGCGTATAAATTAAAAGAAACATAGGACCTGACACCGAAGACAGAATCCATCTTGCCTAACATTACCTACTTCCTAGGTGGACAGCTACATTTGAGGTAGCCATTCAAGGCTTCGTTTATGGTCATAGAAAAGAAGTAGGCACTTTAAGGCAAAATTCATGTAAGCTACTTAAAATGTCTACTTACTTTGGGGTGAAATGAATTGCCTCCTAGAGGTGCTGGTTTCTCATCACTGCTTATAAAGAGCACACAATGATTAGATAAACTGTGGCAGTCTATCTCTGTAGGGGACAATATTTCGTCAGACAAATCAGACTTTATAGGCATGTTAAATAACAGCATGTCTACGGGTGAACCAAAGGAAAGAACATTAATCTCATAATTACCTTTTCACTTCTCTTAAAATGTTGACTTCAAGAAAAATGCCTCTTGTTTTCAGATTGTGGTCTTGTTTTGACACTTCTGTTTAGAGTTCTGTAGAAAATGAGAACTGTTAATTGCAGGTGTATTAAACGAATGCCCGAGCTTGCAAGGTGGAGCTTCTTACTGAAACAATTGAATGATTGAAAGATCTTTTGAGCTGTTGCTATTTGCATTGTATTGAGAATAATTAAGACAGTTAATTAAGAAAACAATTTCAGACAGTTACAGTAGTTCAACCGATTAGCAGCAACTTGCAGAGCCCAACAGCTTGATTGCTAATAATTTTCTGTTCTATAGGAAATTCTAGACAAGTCAGTTGGACTATTTGTAGTGACCAACAATACGGTCTCTATGACAAGCTGATGCTGTTAAATGATTCTTCTTTTGCTATAACCCCACATTTCAGTGCTCATCAAGCCAATATTAGAACTTCTGTGGATTTTGGTGGTTTGGGTTTAAGACTTAAACATGTGTTTAACTTAAACCAACCCTGCCTCTGCTGTAACCACAGGGAATGGCTGAATTGCAGCTATCACAGTTGAGGGCAGAGACCTCTCTTGTGAAGTACTGACCTGAATGTCATTTCTCGCTCTAAGTACAAACTTCCAGGAGCAGGAGTCCAAAAGTCTCCACATGTTAGGAAAAGAAGCCACATGGACATTCACAAGTATTTGTTCTCCTATTTTCCAAAATAAGAAAAAGAATCCAGCTCAGGTCAAAACAATTTTCCTCTCTGACTGCGTTATTTTTTTTGTAGACTTTACTTTCAGCATTCCTTATATGAAAATTCATTAATTTTTTTTACTGTTGTGTATATGAGCATAGACTGTGATTATGTGCATTCTGTGTGCAAGATTTAAAGTACAGAGTAAGGATAGAGAATAAAACAGTGACACAATTAACAGTCTGTCAGATTTGATAATATTTCAGGCTATGGATATGTTTCCTACCTTGGAAACTAACATTAAAAACGATGCTTTCTTTTCCTCAGGAACAAATGCTTCTAGAAAGCTGGACACAATGGCATTTAGAGAAGCTCTGACTACAGGATCAGGTAAGCTGTTGGCACATTCTGCCCCTCCCCGTCTGGCAGCGACTACAAATGGGATGCACAGTCAGCAGGGGAATGGCGAGGTCTTCACAATCAACTTTCCCAGTCAGCTTTCCTTAAGTGCTGTATGTGTCCCGGGGGGATCCCATCGAGTGAGGCAACGGTTGCAGTCTGCTGAGGTCTTTGGTTCATGAATACAGAGCTCATTAGGAGACAAAAAATAGCAACAATGAAAAAACCCTCCAGAACATAAGCAGAAGATTCATATTCTTCTCTAGGTAATGTTATTTTGACAACAAGTTGGAGCTTTCTTTTCGTGTTGTTTTTACATAATGACATTTTCTCTCTGGCCACAGATCCTCTAAGTCCTGGGGTCATACAGAGCAAGAGGCTGCAGAGGATTGCTGGCCTTGTGAAATGATCAGCCTTTATAAGAGAACTAGAAGGAGCTGACTTGAAGGGAGGGTAATCACCATTTCAAGTTTTTGCTGGCCCTCATGAAACAAGACCAACGCATGCAAGCTGAATTCCAGTCTGCATTCTCCTTATTCCATCTAAAGATAGTTTACATCGCTAGCACTCTTCCTTATTGGACCATTAAGGTGTATTTTTACTGATTTACAGTCCGTAGTCATCTGAGATAGTTGATTAATACGAGACACATGACTGGTCCCTGAAAGAACAACTGGATCAGAAGAGAGATACACAGTCCTCTCCTGAACTCAGACAAGCAATGTCCACAGTAGCCTATATGTAGATGTTTATGCTCTGGATACTTTGTAGGATTTGAGTGGTTATTTCTCTACATGGACTACAGGAGTAGCCTAGAAGTTAGGCTTAGACAAGTAACTTTTAATTGTTTAAGTTGAGTGATGAACCCCATACTAAGAATATCAAATGAAAGAGCAGAGAAATTAATAACAATCCAAACATGGTAATTTTCCCATCTTCCTCTGGAGGGGCTTTCCTACATCACTCCCCCCACAAACCAGGGCATCCATTACATCCCTGTCATGTGTCATGGCTTAGCCCCTGCCCAGAGTTTCAGAAGGTCCAAGTACATCCATCACTGGCTACTGGAAGCCTCCGTGGAGCTTTTCCATCTCTTCACAGACAGTTTGTTGAAATGGGAGAAATAAAAATCAGTTTGCTGCAGTGTTTTGCTTTCCTCCCATGTGATGGCTTTGATCAACATCTAGGGTCTTGCCTCAGGGGAGTCATCTGTGAACTCGTACCCCAGAGCTTCAAGCCGTGTTCTGCATAAGTGCTGAGGGACGGGGTAGGATCCATTTTGTATCATTTCAGCAGCATAAAATTGAGCTATGCAAGCCTAACCTAGCCGCCTGGGCTTATTTTATAGTCAGCGTAGGGAGGGAGAGACCTGCAGAAAGCAATACATGCCATTTTCCTTAGAAACTTATTTTACAATGGGATGAGTCGTCCTTTGGAAGTGCCTATTTCTTGCCAATGATAGGTAAAAGAACCCAACTAACTTACTTAGATTAGTAACTTTTAGATGTCTAAAACTAGTTAAGATGAATTTTCATGCATTTTGGGTGTTCCTCTGATCTCCAGAACCTTTGAGGTCTGGTGTATTGCCCAACACAAATTGCATGCCTCAAAGTTGTCCGCATCCCATTTAGATGTTCTTGGAGACCACTGGGAGGAATGGCTCAGTTCCGATGAAATAAAACGGTAAGACCTTAAGTGCTTGCCTGTGAACGTATGTATGCCCGCCGTTGCACACATGAACTAGAGAGAAGGGAGGAAAAGGCAAGCAGTGCAAAGAAAGCTTGTTGGTTGGAATAAAAAGGTTGAAAGAGTTACCCAAGTTTCCTCGCAGGAAAAGACATCAGCTGCACATTTGTCAACAAGTTAAACATCTGCTAGTGAAGAGCAGTTGAATTGAAAGCTTTTTTATTGCATCTGTCCACCTAGATAGCTGCTTGATGTTCTTACTTTATTCACTGAACATCTTTAGGTCAATTAGTATCACAACTCTCCTATGAAAGAACAACGATTAGCTCCTTTTTTAAAAACCAAATTGATATTAATGAAAGCAATTACTGCTTAAAGTATGAGTAAGATAACAAGTTAAACTGCTCTAAATCTTCCTCCGGGTGTATAATTCCTGTATTACATAGGGTCTTTAGCTAGTGAGAACCAGCACCTCTTAATTTGAGACGATCATAATCACGTTACCAAAAGTTCCAATGACTGCCTGAATTCCATTTTCTAAATTGTCATGATCACTTTGAGGCGCATTTGAATTTTTTTTCAAGAAGTGGTTGCTTCAAGGTCCCAGTGGCCTGGTATCAGTGACTCCAGATCGCAGGTTGGACCTCCATTTTGCCAAAATGTCCATCCTCATTTCAACACTGTTTTGATGCTTTAAAAAAATACTGTTTGTGTTTCCAGTCAAAGGAAATATTAGAAGCATTTCCAAAAGTGCTTACAATATCTTTAGAGCATACCATTTCATTGAAACATTTCCACACTGAGACAACACCACTAGTGTTTTAATTGTTTGTTCTGCTCTTCCCTTGAGAACATCATGGTCTCCTGTGTCCAAAAGGAAGATGTAGAATCTGTGACATTCCCCAAAAGAAACATTTCCTGCATCCAGGAAAAAAATAAGTATTTCCCTAGCAGGTAAGCCTCCTAATGAGTAAAATTTCTTTCCATTCAGGGAATTGTGTAGAAACTGTTCTAAGTCAGTTGCCTTGTTGACTGAATGAATTTCAATGCACTAAAGGAAAAGAGTTGCTGCATCGTGATACCACAAAAGAAAAAATAATTAGGAATATATCTTTAAAAAGGGGGGAGTATATTTTTTATTAATTTTTGCACCTAAAATATTGATCTGGGAACTGAAATCTCTTGCAGGTCTTCATCAGAGACCACTGAATTTTTAGCAGCTGGTAGGATTTCCGTACCTAAATTTCTGAGTATGATCAACAGCTGAAAATAGGAAGAAACAGTCACATATGTGTACTATGGAATACATTTCAGGGCAGAAAGGTTCTTTTTCACTTTCACCAGAAATCTCTCCAATTGCCTGTGATAGCGTTGACATAAATTGTAAGGTTACATGGTCGCTGTTTAACTGGTCTTGGCTCAAAATAAAACGCAATTGAAATTTTGGGGAACTCGTCACCTTATTCTAGGAACGTAACTGGGGGACCTATGTCGTGACCTGAGTCACCCAAGACATTTTCTGGAGTAAACAGTCACACCCAGAAAATGGTTCAGATTTTAGGATGCACCAAGTCTTCACCAAGAATGAAGGATCTTGAAAGACAAGATCAAAGCAAGCCGTCTAAAATGGGATTCATCTCACTCGACTGTAACCACCTAAAATTTTGGCAGTGAATTTATATTGGTCATCCCGGCTTCCTTTCTCACCAACAGACACGCACGTATCCGGGATATGATGCATCCCACCTATCCCTCCGTAACGGTTATAGACGGAACTGAAGATGATGCACTCAGACCAACCTTTAGACAGCCAAATACAGGTGAGAGTCACCGCAGCTAGAGTGCCTGGAAACACAGGTGGGAACTGAAGCCCTCCTTTCTGAACCCCCAGACTCTACTGTAACCATCTAGTATCCTATCCTGAATGAATCAGCTTAAATTACTATTATTTTTTCAGGAACACAGACATTTCTGGTTTGTCTGTGATTTTGTCCACATCGCACTGATATTTACAGGATTATTTAACTGACCTGTGTTAACAGTTATTTTATTAGATGTCCTTTTGTATTTCCTGTAAACGTAAAGGTGAGCAAGATACATCTGCCCTGCCTAGAATTTTTACTGGCATCAGCAGAAATGTTTCTTAACTTTTGCAAAGTTAAGTTATATTACGCACTTCTGGAAAGGTAAAATTAATATCCAGAATTAGTTTTCTAGGGGACTGAGTCTAATTCAAATTCAATTAATAGTTTCAGCCAAAAATAAAAGGTGGGGAAAATTGCTTGGAAAATCTAAAAATATTTGTGTTTGAACACTTAAAAACAATATTCATGGCTTTCCTTTCATCAATTCCGTAACAATTAATCAGCCTCAGGAAAACAAACCCACAAAATATTTTGTAAGAAATCCCAGAATGAGATGCAACATTTAATTTCATTTTAAACTCAATGATTTGTGTTTGTTCCAAACTAATTATGTCTTTTCCTTTTGTCTAAAAAAAAAAAAAAAAAATCTGCTTATGTTCCAGCATTTCAATCCACTTTTTCCAGTGTTCAATTTCACTGCTGACTCTGAAAGGTCACTATTAACTGTGCCTGAACTCCTTACTCTACTGTTCACACAGGTAAATGTGTAGCAGCTATTATACTCAATTAATATGTTTTTCCTCAAGTGAGATATCATACAAAGTTTCTTCTATATCTGCACTGTGGTCTAGCTCTTAAATAAAACCCCATCTGAGGTCCTATTTCATATGAATGAAAGGAATATTCAGGAAGGAATTCCACACACAAAGTGTGTGGGGTTTTTTTAAAGCTCTCTCCTAAGAGAGCTGTCCTCCTAAGCTTTCCTTCCAATGGGCACCATCTAAGCCACTGGTTTCCCCCTCTGATATTGGGTGAGATGCTTGCATTTCCACTACCTCTATCTTGTGGAGGATGTAATGTGTTTGTGCGTTGCTTACCCACTGATCCCCTGACAAATCTCACGTGTACGAAGCCAAACACAAGGCGATGAAATGCCTGAAGAAAACTGCACTGCGCTGAGTTCATTCTCTTGGGTTTCACCAACCGTGCGGAGGTGGAGATATCTTTGGGCTCTTCCTGCTCATCTACGCCACCACTTTGGTGGGGAATGCTGGCCTCGTTGTGCTCGTCCAGCTCAATGCCTGCCTTCATACCCCGATCTACTATTTCCGAAGCAACTTATCTTTCTTAGACCTTAGCTGTTCATCTGCCATTGCTCCCAAGATGCTGGTGAATCTGCTAGCACAGCGGAAGACCGTTTCTTTAATTGGGTGTGCAACACAGATGTTTCTTTTTGCTGATGCCAAGTGGCTCATTTTGGCTGTGATGGCCTATGACTGCTATGTGGCCCTATGTCATCCTCTTTACACCGTTGCCATGTCCTGCAGGGTCTGCACCTCCATGGTAGCTGGGGCTCATCTCAGTGGGGGTCTGACCTCACTGGTGCACATGTCTTTCACATTCATGTTGCTGTTCTGTGGCTCCAATGTGATCAACCATTTCTTCCATGACATCACGCTGCTGGAGCTCTCTTGCTCCAATACACGCATCAACGAGGTCCTCCTCTTCACCCTGTGTGGCCTTATACAAACCACCACTTTCCTGACCACTGTTGTCTCCTACGCCTGCATCGTCAGCACCATCCCCTGGATCCATGTGGCAGGTAGCAGGCAGAAAGCCTGCTACACCTGCACCTCGCATCTGACGGCCGTCGGGTTATTCTATGGCTCCCTCCTCTTCATGTATTTATGGCCCAGCTCCAGCTACTCGCTGGACGCAGACCAAGTGATCTCTGCGTTTTATACTGTCGTCTTTCCCATGCCGAACCCCCTCATTTACAAACTGGTGAAGGATGCCCTAAGGAGAAGAGTAGAGGGAAGAGTGTTTTCTCAGTGATTTTCTCAGAAGTGAAAAAGATATAGTGTGTCTCCGGTGCAATACACAAAAACACAAGCGATGGGATCCACCTGACTAAACATAGGTGACTTGTTATCTGCACCTGAACTAGCTTCCTAGGTTCATTTGGTAATCACTGGAAAAAAGTAATCACCTTAGAAAGTGATTCACCTTGTCATAAAATGGAAGCCCAGGTCAGATGGATCCCAGCCCAGAAGGATCTCTTTCTCCTCGCTGTCTATAAAGGCAGTCTACCCCAAATGCAGAAGAAAGTTCTATTTTTGCAGCTTACAATTATTGAGAGAGCTCTCAACCAAGAGGTTTTAAAGAAAAGTCCAATTTAGATAACTACTATATATGGGTGTGATTGTATGTATCAAATTTGGAAAACTAAAAGCTTTGGTACAGCAGAAAAGACTTCCCTTGTCTGGCAGCCAGCTCTGCCATACCCTCTATAGAGAGAGGAATCTCATCTGCTCGCGATACCATTTATCGTATTTTTAGGACCGGACTCGTTCAAGTTTCACCAGGTGTCCTTCCTGCCTGTTCTGCTCCCACCAGACATCTTTCATGCTTGTTCTCATCCTGTGTTCTTACCTTGAAGATTCTACTACTTGCATATGTTTTTCCACAATCTGTTTCTGCCTCTATACTGCAAGCTCTTGTCTCCCTTCTCACGGCATAGTTACTTTTTTATTTCTGCTTTATTGTGTTAGGAAATGCTTGTTGAAGGTTATGGTATCGGCAGTGTTACAAAACACATACACCGATGTCAAGATACGCTTTTGTAGTACGCTGGTGTCTGGATTCAATATAAACAAATATTAATTATATCCTGCGTAATACGCTGGTACGGCATGGGTGCAGTGGGCCTCTGCTTTGGCTCCTGTCATTTCAGCACTGGACCCTTTTTTTGTTGGCTTTCCACTTGCTGGTGTCTGTAGAAGCCCTTCTAATTGCCCTTGCCCGTTCCTCGTCACTCTAATCTGCAGCTAAACTACGGGTTTCCTAATCCCATCCTTTGCAAGCCCAAGGAATGCTCCTGTGTTCCCCCTTGGCCCTTGGGAGCCTGTTCCTAGAAAGTGCTGGTGAAGGAGATGGGGAACGGCAGCTGCCCCCCTGCCAGGCAGGCAAGGTAAAGGTGAGGGGCAGGACCTTCAAGGTACAAGTGCGGTAGTCAACTGCTTGAAGTCCAAGTGACAGCCAGTTATGGGTGACATCACTCAGGGAACAACACTGGGGCCGATCCTGTTCAGCATCAGCATCATCAGTTACCAGCACAAGGGGCAGAAGGCACCTCAGCAAGTCTGCAGGTAACGGTAAACTGGAGGGGGGAAGCAGTTCATAGCCATGAAGGCAGGATTAGTCTTCAGAGGCACCCTGGATGAGCTGGAGGAACGGGCCAAGAGGAACCTCCTGAAGTTCAGCGAAGACAAAACACCCTGTCCTGTCCCTGAGCCAGAATAACCCCCAAGCATCAAGACGGGTTGCGGACCCACTGGTTGGAGCAGCTCAGCTGAAAAGCACTGGGACGCTGGCAGGCAAGGCTAGATGACTCCCTCAGACCCCTCCCAATCCAAGTGATTCGATGATTCCTAACGACTCTATCTCCTGAAGACCAACTTGACTTGGCCCTGGGTTTCTTCATCTTCTTTCACATGTCCCCACCAAAAAATATATAATCATGGCTTTTTGTAAACAGTGAAAATGGTAATTTCTTAGGTTAGCAACCTCAGTGGAAGAAAATTGTGTGTGTGTGCCTGTTAGGTACAAATGTCAGCAACAGAAAACTGAAGACGTAATTTAACTCTTCTGTGAAGTTGCAACGTACGGTTGTATTTGGTGCAGTTCCCATTAAGAAGATATGCCAAGCGTACTGCTCTTTACCTTCCTCCTATAGATTGCTAAACGTCTCTCTGGAACCCTCCCCCTTTCATCTTCTCCCCAGCTTTCACCTCTCTCTGTGTCAGGAATCCGAGGTCCAACTCTAAGATGGCCCAACTGTGTGACCTTGGCTCAGGCTGCTGAGAAAACCAGGCTGTGGAAGGAGCTGTGCGACGGTGTGTAGGAAGCTACAGTACAATCAGAGGCAGAGCTAGACTGTTCAGCCTGGAGTTGCTAGTAGCTCACAGGATCAAAAGGACGAATACCAGCACAGAAATTATTATAATCACAAAGAGAATGAAAATAGGGAAATAATCATAGAATCATGGAATCGTTTAGGTTGGAAAAGACCCTTAAGATCATCGACTCCAACCGTTAACCTAGCACTGCCAAATCCACCACTAAACCATGTCCCTCAGCGCCGCGTCTACATGTCTTTTAAATACCTCCAGGGACGGTGACTCCACCACTTCCCTGGGCAGCCTGTTCCAATGGTTGACAACCCTTTTGGTGAAGAAATTTTTCCTACTCTCCGATCTAAACCTCCCCTGGCGCAACTTGAGGCTGTTTCCTCTCGTCCTGTCACTTGTTACTGCCAGTCATCTGTGAACACAGTGTCCTGGTCTTGGATGTGGCGAACGATGGCAGCATGGCAATGGTGCCCTTCCGCTCCGGGGAGGAGGCAGAGGCCGAGGCCTGCCTGGCCGGTGGGGATTCCTCTGTGTCCTACCAGAGGAGCGACCGCGCAAATGTTTACCCTGGGGCTCGTCAAATCCTCGCTGTCGTTCGTTTGTACGCGCTACTGACACACATCAACCAGCCCCCGCGATGTGCGGGCCGCGTCCCCCTCGCTGGGCTCCTCAGGACGGGGCAGCCCGGGGCCTGGCTGCGTGCGGGCCGGCTCCTGAGCCCCCCCCCCTCACCCCGGA